CTTACATACGAGGAGCAGGAGGAGCAGGAGAAGCCCTGCATAATGTATTTGGATCTGGGGGTATCTGAAGTATCTGTAAGATGCCTTTTGCCATCGCAAAATGGCGCAGCGATTCAGAGAACAATGCAAAACAGCAAAACAGACAGCAAACAACGGAGAGCAAAAACAAAAAAAAAAAAGGACTCTCCGTCTGAGTTTGACATTTGTGCTCGGCTTGCCTTTGTTTTTAATTGTGTCAAATTTTGTATGGCCCGAAGTGGGGGGGACTTTTCGCAAAGTGGAGCACTGCGGTGCACGTAGGTGCAAATGAAAGCCACTTCATTGAAAGAATCCTGTGGCAAGGGCCCAACAAAAAGATGTGAATGGCACCGATGTGGGTTCGGTTCGAGGGGCCCTTCGTTTGTGTGCTTTTGCGGGGGATTAGTTCAGCACGGTGGGGCGTTAGTTCCCTGATTAAAAGGGACAAACAATATGGGCGAATATGTGTTTCAGTTTCATGCTCTAGTTCAGCCAACAAAAGCGTGAACCGCTCGAAGGGAAACGGAAAAGTTTTGCGAAAATTAAAAGCCAAACAGAACAGAATAGAATGGATTCAGATTTTGGGAAAAGATAGTACATCCAAAACTATTTTTGTAAATTACATCTACATGAAAATGTTTCGTGTTTCACTCATAAAATGTTTGCAATATTTAAAATTACTTGTTAAAAACTCTGAAATACCCAAAAGCTTTAAAAAAATATGGATTTTAATAGAATTACTGAAAAAATGTTACTGCTTTAATTCCTCAAATCTGAAAACCAACAAAATAAACCAGTAAATTTCGGTTGTCGAAATATTTGTATAGATTCGTCAACCTCAACACTTTCGGTGTAAATTGCTTAGATACATTTAGTGTCGCTTTTTCGAACCAACCAACCCAAAATATTCGAGCGAACCGCATTTAGTTTTACTTGATGCAAAATAAAATCATGAAAAACATGGAGGGAAACCGTAAAAGGTGACAACTGAATAGTGAATTGCATTTTTGGGGTGCGGTTAGCCAGAGTTATTAAAGCAAAATGCTAAATGGAGTGTGCTGGCCGCCAAATGGACTGTCATTAAACGGCTGGCAGTAATTAAATATTTAAACATTTTTAACTGGCCCGCTGTCAGCCAAAAGTCAAAGCCAAGCATTAGCATATCGTTGGCAATTCCTATTCAAATTCGATGCATGAGGCATGAAAATATATTTCAAAACAAAATCAGCTTCCGTGGGCGTTTTAAAGTTGTTGTGTTGTGAAAATCGCAGCTCGGGGATAGTTGTCAATCTATGAATTGTAACTCGAACTCAAAAGAGTTTTCTGTGTGGGTGTCAACTCACAATTGAGTGAATACAAATATTTTTAGTTTCTTGGTAAATATTTTATTTTAGAGCTTTTACTTTTGTTGCTGGATGTCACTCGGCTAACTAGATTTTGTCTTGTCATCGGCTATTGTTACAAAGTCCTGCAGGACATTGTCTTGCGTTAGACAAAACGATTCTGTTGTCCTTATCGCTTTGGTCCAGGCCAAGCCAACAAAAGATGAGGGCTGGAAAAGCGTGTGGGAAAAATTGTTTTCCCATTCTGTGGTCATTTTTATGGATTTACTGTAACACGCTAGCTTTTCCTCCTGCCCTTTTTTCTACCATTGTATCACTGTTTGTCTGTGCTTAAGTAGCCGGAAGTAGATTTTCCTTTCCCCGGCAAATTAATTGAGTTGAAAACGCTTTTGTTGCAATTTTACCGCGCATGGTCGGGGTGAAATGAGATCCATGTAAAAATAAATAAATAATCGTCATCGGCTTAACATTTATTGGTTATAAATTGAGCAGCTCAAGCGTGAAATATAAAGTGGATTATAGTTTTAATGGAGAAATACCGATATGGCAAAACCAACAAATGCCTTTGCTGTAGTGTGCTATACTATATATAACAAGGTTCAATTTAAGGGATAAATTGTACAAACATTCGCGGGAAATACAAGTAGTTGGGTGGAAAAACTAGGGAGAGATTATCTACGGACTTAACGGTGAAATATTGCTGATGAGTTGCGAGGATAATGATGTCGATTACTGACAGAGAATGAAATAAACTCGAGGAGCTTGTCGATTAGTTGAAATGGTCTATAGAAATTGTTGTACAACGTCCTTGTTTTTAAAAACAAAACAAACTTAAAAACTGCAATTTACATGTTAATAACAAAAATTCGTTTCCAAGAATTTAAAATTTATTTTAAAAGTTTTTGTTTTAGAACTTCTTTTAATTTTGTTTGCTTAAAGCATACTCAAAGCAGGGAAAACGGCGTTTTCTATTTGTGTGTTCAATACACTAAACAACTTCCCATTTACTTCCGGCAATCATTATCCCTTTTTCCGGGGAAAATCCTGAAACGTATACCATTAGATGACGTCAAAACCTTTTCAGAGCAAACAGATTACCGAGGGGCAATGCCCGATTGATGGCTACATGTGTAGACAACTGGGCAACCAGACACGCCCCCGCCCCTTTAACCCAAAAGCGGTCGAGTCCCGATTGCGAACAACATCCAACAGCCAATGGCAGCCAAAAATAAATTAATCAAAGAGCGCGAAAGGACAACAGTTTAGTTTGTGGAAAGGAGAGAAGGATTTCTGTTCGGTTGTTTAGGAAATCGTAAATCCATTAAAAGCCTCATTTAGAACGCTTTTGACGCATTTAGAGGGCTGAAGTTTTTGGGGGGAGGATTCCGATTTAGGGATTATTTGTAGGCCCCAAATTGATTCATCCGGAGGGGATGTTGTCCTCCCGGCCAGGAATTTTAATTGTAGACGAATCCGTAATTGATTGTGCCCTCTTATGACTGCTGGCTTTCCACTCAGTTTCCTTTCAGTCGGAAAACAGATTTTCCCGGCCCGCACTGCTGCCTTTACATAATGGATTCGGGCCAAGAAAAGGGCAAGAAAAAGGACTGCAAAAAGCGCTCAAAGGGTTGAGGTTGTCATGCCCTACGGGTTTTGAGCCTATGATTATTTCAATAGCGACTGAGAGAACTTCCAACTAAATCTATTCAGCATTTCTCACTCTAATCCATGCCAGCGTGTTTTGTCTTTGGTTTGGGTAATTGATTTGCGAAATTACATATTTTGTGGGCCAGAGTTTTGTTTGTACAAGTTCCTTCTGAGATTGACTGGTTAATTTAGCCTAATGGTCTGATTGACAACCCAATACAGAAACAGGAAAATGACGAAAAGGTGAAGTAATGCTGTGATAAATTAAATAAATATTTAATATATTTAGCTGGCTTACTGGCGAATTTTAGGAGTTGCCTTTGGATAATTAAAATCATTCAAAGGTGTCAACCGAAAATGTTGTTTCAGAGATTACAAATGGAAAAGCAAATAAATAGCTCATTGGTTATATTGGTAAATGTTATATAAACCCCTCGTAACTTTAATCTTAAGAGCGTTGTAAAACAGTTGTTAGAACCTTATGTTTTAAATTTATCTTGAATAAGGTTGAATCGTTATCTATCCAATAAGCATTTATTCACGCTCTCACACGGAACCATTATCATTAGCAGGCACGGAGGCCTAGGTATCTGGCTCATAAAGCACGGCAAACAGGGCCGAAACACACTCAGATACAGATGGCATTTGCAGATACTCTTGCGGACACACTCGCAGGCAATTGTGATGTGGGCCAAATGCAATCCAGGCAAACAAGCTGCTAAATTTCGCACGCAGATCTCAAAAGGCATTTAAGCACGGGGACCAGGGACTCCGACAAAACCAAAGATGCTGACAGCCATGATGATATGGGGATGGTAAGAAGGATGGCCAAGGGGAACCGATGACACACACAGCCAGGGAAAAACGAGACCAATCAAGTAAAAAGCGAAGGAAAAAAAACAGAGGAATCGCAATGCTAAAGTAGCTGAAAGATACACATGTATCCGCCAGATACCCAGACACTGAGGCAAGTGTGAATTATCCTGCCTCAAAGTATTTAATGCGCTTTACACATGGCAGCGAGCAAACAACAGAGCGTCGGATAAAAATAAATAGCTAAACAAAAAAGTACTGAGAAACAAATACACTGGAATCACATAGACCATCATCACTCATCCAAAACAAACACAAAATAAAAATAAATCGTGGAAAATCAGTCAGTTGATGGACTTGAGGCCCCGAAAAAAAGCTGTTAAAGGAAACGGGTGGAAAATTAATTAAAGAACGTGAAAATGCAACAGGCTGACCCCCAGTTCAAGTTATTAAACATTCTTCGGTTCTTGTTACGTTTTTTTCGGAATATTTTTTTAAGCAGGCATTACAAATTACACAGCTCCAAAAAGAACTGGTTTACCTTTCCTCAACCGAAGCCAAAGTAACGATCAACTTCTACCTGACGTTGTTAACCATCTTTTGTGAGCTACGGGCAGGCAGGTAGAATGCGGGCTCGCCGTTTCCCCCCCGCTCCTTTTCCCTCTTTTCCTGGCCTGTCAAGGACCTCCTGCTGTTTTCCCTGGTGGTTGAAAATTGTTTTCTCGGCGCAACAGGATATGCATTTTTTCCTACTTCAGCGTTGCTCTACAAATTGAGTCTGGAGTTCAAATGAAGACATAAAAAATTGTTGACCTACATGGAGTCATGAAAAAATATGCCATATTAACTTTCAGCAACAATCGAAATATTTATGTAAAGGTTTGGGAGTCTCCGTTTATTTTAACCAGTAAAGATATTTACAAGGATATACCAATGCTGAAATGTAATGCTTTAATAATATCCCGTCGGCTTTTACAAATAACATAAAATGTCTGTTTTTCTGAATCATTTTTAAACCCCATTGTGCAACCAACATAAAGTATCGATTTCCATGCTTACTTCTAACGAGCATTAATTAAAACCCTTTTTAACTTTGTATTATTCCCTTTTTAAAATATTATTTTACAAGAGCAGTTCGTTGTACGTGTTGTACCATTTTTTTTAAATCGGAAAACTCACCTTTCCGCCGACTTTAAGTTCGTAGCCCATGCCCAGCGGCGTTTTCAGTTGCACCGGGCAGACGAATCCAATGTTGCGGTGAGGACTTTCCACGCCAGTCTGGTGTTTTCGGGTGGTGACCTTGGCCACACTCCTTGTGGGCGTGGCCGCGGTGGAGGCCGAGGAGGTGGTATTCTCGGCCACACACAAATCCTCGCCGCCGTGGACGGGAAATTTGGAGCACTCGAGGTTTTCCGGCCAGTTAAAGTTGTAGGTTTTCATCAACTTCTCGCAGACTCTCGCCGACTCGCAAAGAGATCTGCACGGTGGAATGGGTCGCTCCAAAATCGTGCAAACCGGAACGTAAAGTGAGCAGAGGAACAGCTGGAGATCATCACTGCAGCCGATCTTCACGAGCGGAGCGAACTGGTGAACCTCCAAGCCAGCTTCCTCCTGCTTCGTATGCCCAATAAGATTCGGCATAATGGTCATGTTGTAGGGGATATTCTTGCAGATCGAAATGGTGATGGGTTCGCAGCGATTGTGGTGGGGTAATCCATCCAACTCGGTCCCAGAACTGGGCATTAATCCCCCGCCACTGCGATAATATGGACTCGCATCCAGGGGACTTTGGTCATAGCGCTGGACGCCTTGTATCAAGGTGGGTAAAATAAACAGGATTTGCCGCCACATTTTGGATTCTTTTCGTTGCCGCTCTTTATCTCTGTCAAAGAACTTTCCGGGTATCTATTTCGATTTTAATGAACACTCTTAAAACGCGCACATGTTGCTTAACTTCTTGCACTCACTTTTACACCATAAAATATTTATTTAATCTATTATTTTCTGTTTAAAATCTTCACTCCCACGAAACACTTAACACCTTTTAATATTTGCGCCGGCAAATATTTAGTTTGCCTTATAAGCAAATAATAAATATTTCTATTTATTTTGCTTGAACTTATTTTTTTGTTTGCAACCTTTATTTGTTAGCAATTTGGTTTTGGCTTTTGTATTTGTTTTTTGGTAAAATATTATCTTGTCAACCTATTTTTTTTGGCGGTCTTAAGACCTTGTTTACGGTTGCTTTTTTGATGTTATGCGGCTTTTTAACGGCAAATGAACCACAGGCTTTTCTTTTCAGATAGCCAAACTTTTTTCTTTCTGTTTGGCGTATTTATAACACGATATAGTATTTGCCTGTTTTTAGAACTCTTTTTCGAAACGCGCGACGATAATACCGTACGCCCGGAGTTGGAAATCACTTGTTTTGCACGGGGTTTACGTCAAAAGTCGAAACGGAGCCGGAGTCGAACCAAATTTCATCCGCGAGCACATCCGCATGGGATCCCGTTCGCTGACAAACTGAGTAGCTGAGAACATGGGGGAGCTGACGGTCTGGGGAACAGAGTAGTCTCATCGGCCTGGTCAGTTCGTTAACAATAACAAAAATACAGCTATAGAGTGTTGGCCATCAACCCTAAGGTACTGAGAAACTGAGAGCCGATGGAAAGAAGCCGCTCTCACGGTCTCACTCTCGCTCGCTCGCGCTGAATATGCGCTCTTTCGCTCATGGAGCTGTTCAGCACTGGGGGCGACCTTGAATTTGACACTCTCGATGGGAGTCCAGAGAACTGGAGAGAGCACAGTGAAAGACAGGGTTGTTATTCCATTTGTTTGGATGCTGTCCCTCTCGCACTGACTCTTTTCAGTTTCTTGGCCTCCTGTTGATTAGCCGACTGGAAAAGAAACATCAACAAACGGCTAAATGTGGGACCATGAAATTAATTAGAATTTAAAATGATTACGCTATTGATAGGGCTAATAGAAAATCAGAAGCCGGAAGCAATGCCCAAATTAAGATGCGCTACCGCAGTTAAAAAAGTCTCTTCCTTCAGGAGGCCTGTATTGTCGTAATAATAAGTGTTTAGACTTTATTTCTTTTCTTTACAAAATTAATATTTATAATATAGTATAAATATTATACATGACATAAATTATTAAAATTCAAAGATTATAATATTTGTTTGTTTTATAAATAGGCAGGAAAGCAATTGTTTGATATAAAATAAATAAAAGAAAATGTGATGATGTTTTAAATATTCATATCTTTTTGATGATTGGGTCATCGCACCTCTTTAACTTTTTATCAGTTCGTGGATACCCGTTACATTTCTTTTGTTCTTTGACTGGCACAAGTGCCGTTAGAAGACATTAGCCCTGGAATAGACTCTGATTACGCTTATTCTCCCCTTGTATTCTGCATGGAATATTTGCACGCGTTAATTTCCTTGATTTTCTGCGACAATTTTTATCGCCGACCATTTCTCCTCGCACTTGCATCTATCATTTATCTTTATCTAAGTTTTTTGTCGTTTGTTTTATTTACTTGTTTTTTGCTCGGAGTTAATTAAGCCATTAACTTGCGTTTAATCTGCGCTTTAGCTTGAGTTAAGTGAACCTATGCTTGGCATTTCTCTAATGACCCCTTGGTGGAGGTTGAGAGAGGGGGATTCGGGGGGTTAAGCATCTGCTGCCAGTCAATAAACTTGTTATATTGACAATAATGATGACATTAGAGGAGTCTTCAGACTTCATTCTTTTGTGTTTGTCACCTGTAGAACCCTTTTCTCCGATCAGACTCTCGCTCTCCACTTAACATATCCCAGCATATTACCAACTCTCTCGCACCCTCTTCTCCTCTCATTCTCTCTAATAAACAAGTGTTACCGGTTTAGCCGGCAATGTTCATTCTATGCTCTTTTTCTCTGCTCTCTTCTTGGCTCCTTCACCTTATGCTCGGCCCCACCGGCCACCTCCCACCCTCTCTCTCTCTCTCTTTTCCCCACTCTTCGCTTCTACACTTCGTCGGCTTGTTTAATAAAAAGCGCCAAAGTTGCGCCGCATAAAAAGGCTCATTCTCCTCCGTCCCTCTGTTCTTCTCTGCCATCCCCTCACAAAACACTTAGAGAAAATTCTGAGAAATTATTTAGATAAAATTTTAAACCCACAAACTTATTTAATTTTTTTTTTTTTTTATTAAAATTTTAAAATGCAAAACATTTTCAAACAAATTGCCGTAAATGTTTTTCTCATTACTAGTGAGTGTTCTTGAAGTTGAGTAGGTATTTTTTTTTCAGTACTTCTATATCTTGGCTTCTGGCTCCATTGTTGTTGCTCAGACGGTTTCCGTTTGCCGCTTGTTGTTGGTAGTACTGCTGTTTTGCAGTTGCCGCTCATTTTATGTTTACAAGTGAACGAACTTTGACGTTTTCCTTTTTCTCTCTCTATCAGTCGTTCTCGCTCGCACTCTTTTGTTAGAAAGTGATTTTGTTTTTGTTGTTCCTCCGCTGTGTCTGTTTTTGGAATATGTAATTTAATATAATTAAAATGTAATAAGGGCTAAAAATAACACGCCGAATGCAGATGAACATTATTAGATAAGCGAAAGTAAATTGAATTAGCTACTTCCTCTTTCTCACCTATACTTCTTTACGTTTTTGGGAATAATTGATTTTAATAGCTGTTAATAACGGGTTTCAGCAACATGCCTTAAATAAAACTAGATACTGACGTAACGGATAATTAAGTTTAGTTTCTGTAGTTGTATTTTTAACAATTAAACATGCCTTTGGTTTTAAACTCCTAAAGTTAAAGTTTAAGTACTTACATTAAAATAAAATTCTTTAAAATATTTGAAGTGCATAGTAAACTTAATTAAGTAAAGTACGGTAACAATCAAAACCAAACTAAGTATGCAGTCTTATAGGGGACTATGACACAAGCATTTTGAGCCTCAAAATTTGAGGTATACGGATCCAAAATCGGACATCATTAAGAAAAGTTAAGGGATTTCACATTTTTTCAAAAAAATTCTATATTCAAAAAATCGTTATTTTGTTCCATAAATTTTATATGTAATTTTATTTAAATTTTTTAGAGTACAGAATTTGCTTTAAGCCGCCCTTATACTAATTTTTGATTCTTAATGTTTTATTGTGGTTAATTTGGGATTACGGATAGGGTTTCTTTGCTGATTTCCCCCTCCAATTAGGCTGATTAGAGTGCTTCTTGTTTCCCCATCTTACATAACTCCTCAAGCCCGTGATTATAGAGACTTTTGCTCAATCGAAAAGGGAACCCAACTCATTTGTAGCCAACAAAGTACAAGGGATAAACAAATCAATCCGCACAAATTCAGGCATGCCTCGCATGGAAAGCCAAAAAATAAACAACCCCCTGAACATGTGGGCTAATGCAAAAGGGACTTGGCCCTAAGCCATAAAAAGGGTTTTCGGTTACTTACATAGAAAAATACAAGTATTTACTTTTCGTTTGACCCTCTAAGAACCCACGCCCCCAACGAGTTGAGTGGGAGTCTCAAGTCACATTAGTGGAAACCCCACTCTTAACCCCAGAAAGGTCACGTGGCAGGCAAAAACTTTGGCCAAGAGTCACACACAGAAACCAAAGTAAAATGTCAACTTTTAACAGCGAGTGGCCAAACTAGTGATGAAAAGTATCTGGGTACAGTCATCGTGGGCAAACGTACCTTTATTTATTAATTTATTGTGGTAAAAAACACAAGGATAAAACATATATTATTTATATATATTTTGAGATTTTTATTTCAATTATTCATCTAAAATGTAGGTTAACGAAATAATAGTCTTCAAAGAATGCAGCGTAATAAAATGTATCCGCAGATTATATTTTTGTATATCTTTACTGGCTTTTTGTAGTTATCGGGTACCTTGGTACTAAAACTTGTCTATTTTTCTCATCTCTGAAGTAACCCAAGCTGCCTACTCCTCCAACTCATTTGGGTGGCTCACTTCCTTCTAATTAGATGTAAAAGCTCTTGGAAAAGCCCCTCAAGTGTATCTCTTGATTAAAAGTTTACAGTGTTTGGTTTGGTTTTTTGACTCGGATTTTTACAGATCATTTGTTGCCATTTGGGCAATCACAAAGGCCTGCAGCGAAATTCACCAACTCCCCCATTTTTCCCTCTTTTTCCGAGCCCATCCAGACTGTTCTCATAAATAAAACATTCATTTACTTAAAAACAGCCAACGGCCGAAAGCTCAATTAAATTTTTTGAAATATTGCCAACGTAGACTGGGATTCGAAAAGGGCATTGGCGGGGTAAAAGGGGGTTTGGCTTTGGAGCTGGACATTGGTCAAGCATCGTTTGCTGCAATCAATCAAAAGGGAGAAACAGAATCTCATTAAGTTCGCCGGCTGCGTTCAATGCTCCCACCAACTGTTGCATGACATGTTTGAATTTGTGGACGCATAAAGTTCAAATTCGAAAATCATTGAAAATGAGTTATTTCGAAATTTGGAATTTCAAGTAGTTTATGTAGAGAAATTATTAAGAAATTATTTATTATACAAATATGTTTAAAAACACTTTTTTTTTAAATATTTTATTCATTGCATTTACACATATTCTTGCATAAATAAAAAAATAAATATGAAAACGTAGGATGAGGAAAATCTTTTCCCACCTGTTCAAGGAAATTTAAAGCTGAAATTTAATCCTCCTGCTAAGTTTTACGATCAAATCGCTTTAAATGTAACCCCAAACTATCAATAAACACTTCCTGCCACATTTGATTTGCTCGGCATGAATTATAGCGCAGTTCTTATGGATGGCTGCCCACCTCCAAGCCAGATAAGTAGATTTCATCGCGCTCCACCATCTTTATGACCTCTCCGACCGCGCGCATAATTAATTGCACGCCCCGCCCTCCGACCGACGCCCACTTCCCTTTGCCCCCGAGGCCAAAGGTCAGAAATACCGGAGTTCGCTGCGGTTCTATTTGGTTAAGGCTGCCCCTTGACTGCTTTGGCGGCTTGGGGTCGGGCGTTGGCTTTTGGGCTGCGGAAATTTGCAATTCGCTGGGCGCAGGCAATGCAATATCGCCCGCTTTTCCGCTTTTCCCCCCGGAGGGAAAATCTGGCAAACCAGCATACGCTGCGTATGCGTGATAAATGTGCCCCCGTGTAGGCGGGGAAATTGTTGCACTCAAAGTTTAAGGTGCTACTTAAATTTTAAAGTTTCTTTTGTTAGAGAAATCTTAGTGGGATAAATAAATAGTTTTTATATTGCTTATGTGAACTCTGATTATCTTACTGTTTTGAAGGCTTTCCCTTTGAAATCTTTTTTATAGGATATTCCAAAAAACTTTAAAAAGCTTAACAAAAACTGTTAATGAAATCATTTTTAACTATGATTTTACTGACTTTGTCAACTTCGATTACATGATATTTTTTATATTTTATTGTTCTTAAAAAGTTAATTTTATTATATAATTTTTTTATTTCAATAACTTGACTAAGAATTCGATTTGTTCAGTGTAAGAAGAAAGAGC